ATACAATTGTGATACAAGTAAACATAGAAAAAATTATTGAAACAGAAAAAGGTTGCAATAAAACAAAATGTCGAATCTGACTCGACACAGGACTGGGTTAATTATTCAAAATGCGAAAGATGCATCAAATCAAAAAGTTTCTTCCAGCGAAGTCCTTCAAACTTTTACCTAGCCAAACGTTTACAAATATCACTCGAAATTTCAAAGAACTTTCGGACGCCTTGCATGCATGTTCCTCGAGTCTCGCGCTCTACAAGAGTTTCTTTAAGCGAGAGAGGAAGAGGAAGATGAAAAGAAATAACCCTTTCGATGGTATTTAGAAAGTTCCTGTTCCGGAGAAGTTTCGGAATGGTACAAACACCGCGGCCTGCGCTTTGTTCGAGACATTAAGAACCTAACCCGGAACTTTTTCTAGCTGCTTAAGAAGTCTGTCTTCTCTCGCGGAAGGTACACGGACACTGGACGACTTCCGGTGAACGGTCACTGGTATTAAAGCGTGCTTCTTATGCCCTCTGTGCGCTGGAGAACCCGCAAACTCCTCTGCTCGGTGAATGTTCAAAGGCTGCTCGTATTGTTCGCGGAGAAAAAGAAAGGAATTCTTGTGGGGAAATTCTATGCGGACGACAGAAAGGCAATTAAAGTATTAAGAGCGCAGTGATAAGACAAATAGGAATGCAGATGGATAATATTCAGGATTTATAATAAAAAGGAAGCCTCGAATGCAGTTTGAAAAGAACGCGGAGCTTCTGGGGTGATTTCATTACGAATCCATTGTGTTCGAGTGGGAAATCTTACAGTGGAATTGTTTTAGAGGGTTATATTAGATTGATTAACCCCTTGTCCTACAACGAATGAGACTCGTAGTGAAGATTTTCAACGTGATTGGACAAGTATGTATATTACTCAGTTCAGTCAAATTCAAAGTAAATATTATTCCTCTGTGATCAACTATTATAGTTGAAAGGAAATATAGGAATAACATATGCTTAGAATTTTTCTCTTTTTCGAATAAATTATTAATGATAAAGCAGCCGTACCGATGAGAGTTGAGAAAGAAATCGTAGGCCAAGGGGTTAACTTTGTGTTATGGTTAACACTGTGAACTCTACGTGAGTTTTGTTTTTATTAAGTGATCGATAATATAGAAATTTGTTGAGAGGATTGTTTAATATTGAATTGTTATCTGAAAGTCGTGGAGTATGAATAATTTCTTAAATATGAGTTACTTATATAGTTTCTCTTTGAAGTTTAATATTTGTCCATTGTCAAAAAGAATTTTAAAGGAGAGTCTTCAGAGGAAAGGTTTGAAATGAACAATAGTATGTAAAATTGATATGATTTCAACAGAAAACCATTCGTGTGTAAAGCGAGTAGATTTTGCAATAGAATTTCCATCGGTAGGCATTGCGTTCGTTTTATTCTTTACGGTTGCTGTCAGTTTTTCCGACATCCGGCACCATCTGCTTGAACGCGCGAGTACGTCGCATTCGTATTCAAAGAAACCGCTTGTCCCCAGGATCCATTCGCGTGAAATACGGTACACGTACACAACACCTTATGTAAATCATCGCGGTCTAACGATCTTGTTACGTAACCCCGCCACAATGGCGCGACGCTCGATAAACTAATGATGGAACGCCGCCGCTCTCGTGATATGTGCACACTCACCCTTGAAAGTAATGGCCACTGAAGAAAAATCTTTTGATCTCTTTTACTTAACTGTTCTTCAGCTGTGGTTTCATTAAAGAATTCAAAGGAAAATGAGCTTTGAATCAGGATGATTTTTTATTGAACTATTTACATGTTTGTTGAGGGTGTACTTTGATTTTGGGGTTGTTTAGTATTAGAATATTAAGTTATTAGGATGTTAGAATATTAGAATATTAGAATATTAGGATATTGGGATATTAGGATATTAGGATATTAGGATATTACGATACTAGGATATTAGGATATTAGGATATTAGGATATTAGATTATTAGAATATTAGAATATTAGAATATTAGAATGATAGAATATTAGAATGATAGAATATTAGAATGATAGAATATTAGAATGTTAAAATATTAAAATGTTAGAATATTAGAATATTAGAATATTAAAATATTAGAATATTAGAATATTGGAATATTGGAATATTGGAACATTGGAATATTAGGATATTAGAATATTAGAATGATAGAATATTAGAATATTAGAATATTAGGATATTATAATATTAGAATATTAGGATATTATAATACTAGAATATTAGAATATTATAATATTAGAATGATAGAATATTAAAATGATAGAATATTAGAATGTTAAAATATTAGAATATTAGAATATTAGAATATTAGAATATTAGAATGTTAGAATATTAGAATATTGGAACAAATCCTGAAACTTAACAAATATCCCTTCTACTCATTCCAAGCGTTACGCAAACAAAAAAAGTTCCTCCAATAAAACTTCCAGTAAAATATAAAATCACCATAAACCCAGATACAAAGAATTAAAACAAACTCCATAAAACACAGTATAAAGTAACGCGAGTGTGAATGCTGGCTCCGCGATGATTTCCCAAAAAAAACTAAAAAAAGTATGATCCTTAAAGGACTCGGTAACTTAATGACCATTCAGTCGCTGAGCAAACGAAAAACCGGAGAGTTTGATCGCCGACCGAACGTCTCGTTCCTTTTTCCCCTATACCTATTTGAACTTTGCTCCAATCGAAACCTATTAAAGTGCCCGGAAGCGGAAAGTTCGAGCGATTTCAAAGAAACCGTACAGAAGATTATTTACCGGAGCATCTTTCGCGTTCTCTTTTTATAAATGCGCGAAAGCGAACGATGCTGTCGGCGAATCGGCGGGTACACGGCATCGAGGAATTAAAGGATCAACCGTTAACGATCGCGCCGGCGGTATTGAAAGCAAAATGTCTTCCGGATACTCGAGCCGATCGATGCGATGCGCACACAACAACGTTATTCTCTCGAGCGGCGTAGTCGCGAAAGGAGGACGTGGCGGCGGGCTGAAACGATTAATACGTAAGCCGGGCTACTGAATAAAATAAATTCTTGCGCGATTTGTAATGCTCAACGGGGTTCAATGGAGTGAAATACCATGAATATTCTCGTTTCAATGCCTCCGCATTATTGAAACCGCTGGGTATTATGTTAATCGTCTGTATTAACACTTTGTCGGGCGGTAATGAGCTTACTAACGACTAGTTTTATATTAAAGAGAGGTATACTAATATTTCTTCATTAACAGTTTTCAAATAGTAATTAGATTATATTATTCGATGTGATTTAGGATTGCAATCATAGATATAGATACCAGAGATTTTTCTATGTAGAAACTGCTCGCAGCCTAGAAAGTTCAAATTGCCGTTGAAATTCAGGTTATCTATCATAGATATCATAGATACCATAGACTTAACATATATTATAAACATTTTCTACGACGTTATGACACGCAATTAATTTTACAAGTGACTAAATCCCAAAGTTTCCACGCAAAAACCGTTCACACCCTAGAAAGTTCAAACTATCGTTCCAATTCAGTTTATCTATCATAGATATCATAGATACCATAAATTTAAGATACATTGTAAACATTTTCTACTATCTTATGACATGCAATTAATTTTACAATTGATTAAATCTCAAAGTTTCCATGCAAAAACCGTTCACACGCCAGAAAGTTCAAATTACCGTTGAAATTCAGTTTATCTATCATATATATCATAGATTCCATAGACTTAATATATATTACAAACATTTCCTTCAATCTTATGACACGAAATTAATTTTACAAGTGACTAAATCTCAAAATTTCCATGCAAAAACCTTTAACACCCTAGAAAGTTCAAACTACCGTTAAAATTCAGTTTACTACCTTCTTAATTCGCGACGACGTTAAGGCCAGAGATGGCACTGCGAAGTATTCGAAGCTCCGAAAATTACGCCGCGAAGAGTTCCGTTTCTACGTGCATGTTTGCGCGTTACCAATAAGGGAGAGTGTTCCCCGCGATCCATCATCCGTTCGGATTACCAACAGGGTGTATCCAGTTCCATTCCGTTCCGCGTTTTGTCGTTCAACTCGCCCGCTTGGGAGAGCGCGCGCTTTCTTGCGGTTACTCTTTCCTCGAATCGCCGACAACCCGATGCCGTCCTAGAAATAATAAAGATTGCTTCGGCAGGAAATCCTTCCGCACCGACTGCTTCACAATTTAATATCGAATATCTGTTAACGGAAATGAGGAACATCTTCCTCCGCGAGACAGTAGTATCTTAATGCGATTCATATTCGGTACACTTGGATTCTTTTATCGTGTAACTGTTTTTGTCGTTAATTAATACTCTTAAGTAATAGCAAACTTTTGAGAGCTAGTTGAGAAACAATCGGATTCTTTTATCGTGTAATCGTTTCGTCGTTAATTAATACTCTTAATCCACTGGACTTTCATCCAGACGCAACAAATTATTTCTCAACTAGGTCTCGAAAGTTCACTATTCAAAGACTACCCCAAATTTTTCACAATCAAATAAAACTGCATAAAATTAATTTCTACAAACAAACTCAAACTACATTCCATCTCGTCAATATTCCAAACGCAACAATTATACTCACAAAAGAAATAAATCCCTAAGAATCCTATTGTCGAGCGACTGTCAAGTTTAAAGACTAAACACGCGGAAATCTGTAACAATCGATCAAACAAACCTGCAGAGAATCAGCTTCCGCGCGGGAGATCGGTCGGCAAACAGCGCGGAACTGAAAGCAAACTCAAATAATTTCCATCTCTCGGTTCGCGTGTAAGAAGCAAAGAAAACCCGCTCATCGATATTCGAAACGCCGCGTCGCTCGACACACAGCGCGTCGCGCGTCGCGTTTAGTTGACTTTCCGTTGCATCGGAGCCAGTCGTCGATCACGGCACGCGATATTTACCCCCGCTAGTCGGGAGACTCGACGGTTCCCTAATCAAAGTTCCGCCTCGGCTCGTTTCAGAAAGCGCGTACGAAGATGAGGAGCAATTCGCCAGGGGCGCGAGATCCCCCGGTGAAACAGCCGACGACGAAATTGGCGCGCATGACGTGGGCTGCGCGAACTTTTCCGTGAGGATGGGCACCAACGCGACGAGGGCCTGGAATTCGAGCGCCGGGGGCGGCTTTCTGCGGGGCGCCGGACACCGGGTCACCTTCGACCCCGAGGCACCGCCGCCGCCGCCCGAATCGGCGCAGCAGCAAACAATGAACCTCCTCGACAAGCCGAAGGATGACTACAAGGTCAAGGTAAGTTCGACAAACCGAAACTATTATAAACTATAGAAAATTATTTTACAAGTATTAAATGATGGCGTCTGCGAAATATTTAAATTAGTTCCATATCTCTCCATAGACACATGTGCTTCGAATCTGAAACTCTAATTTTTATAATTGAAAGTTAGTCACTCTAATTGCTCGGCAGTTTTAGTTTCAAATATTACGAGCCCAGCAGAATCATCTAGCCCTTTGCACTCCAAAGGTCCCTTTGAGTCACCACTCGATTGATGCATCAAAATTGTAAAATTTCGTATTTAATGTTAAGTTTTGAGTAATCTGCCGATACATGAAATGTGGAAATAAAATAGCATTGTTCCACTTATTTTGTGAATAGATTCATCGTTAAGTTAGTTGAAAAAATGTCATCTATATTTCATAAAAATAAATTAAATATTTACAGTGACAAATGTTTGGAGTGCAAAGGGTTAAATGAAGGCGTTTCTGCGAAATATTTAAATTAGTTCCATATCGCTCCAGATAAACAATATAATATTCCGTTTTATTATCATTTTAACACTAGACTTACACGCGTTTATTCTATTTTTCCTACAAAACGTCGCGTTTGTCTATAAATCGCGAAAATTACCTTGAAAGTCAATCGCACGAATGAAACTCTTCTAAAACTGTTACCGAACAATGTTTAAAAAACTCAATATCCGTCAAATTCGGGTTCCGTGAATCTCTGAAGTCACAAAGAAAGGATTACCGTTTCTTCGAAACGCGTCAGGTTAACGAAACATCGATCGTTCGAACCGCGATTTGATCGTTCGATCGATGGATCGTCCTATTTTTTGGTTTTCTCCGGGACGCGGCTCGTTACGAATGACCCGTGAATCGGATCCGGAGATGTAATAAGCCACGGGCCGCGCCAGTGAAGAGAAGAATGGAAGAAAGCAAGCGAACGATAACTGCGTTACGACGTCGATCCAATTTGCGGAAGTTACCGTTGCGAAGCGGGTAGAAGTTTCCCCGGCGATCGTGGTCCCGCGGCCTTTTATTGCTTTCTTGAAAACTTCTCTGCCGACCGGCGATTATCTAGCGATCCACCGAATCCTCGGGGATGAAGCAAACTGCCGGGAGACGACGCCCGTCCCCGCAATTGGGGAAGCTTAACGCTATTTCGATAATCGCGGGTAATCTGATTCCAGCAATCGATGGCTGCGATTTAAGAAAATAGTAACGAGGTGCGGACCTTCGAGAATGGACCGTTATCCCTAGTCCTTTTATCTATTTCGTTGCTACAGCGTTGACTCTATCTTGTGTTTTTGTGTTGTCTAGATTTGGTTGGGGATAGGGGACTTTTCAAAATTAGGTTGGCGGGTGTAAGATTTCAATTGATCGTTGATTAGAGAGATTTGAATGTTGGAAGGTGTTTGTAGGAGAGATCCATCGATCGTCCGAGAGTCTGTTTTGAAAATCAATGGCTTGGGAAATGGAAGATTTTAATCGATCGTTAATTAGAGAGTTTTAAATGTTGGAAATTATTCATAGAAGAGATCCATCGATCGTCCTAGAGTCTCTTTTCAAAAGCAATAGCTTGGCAAATGGAAGATTTTAATCGATCGTTAATTAGAGAGTTTTAAATGTTGGAAATTATTCATAGAAAAGATCCATCGATCGTCCAAGAGTCTCTTTTCAAAATCAGTGAGTTGGCAAATGGAAGATTTCAATCGATCGTTAATTAGCGAATTTGAAATGTTGGAAGATGTTTATAGAAGAGATCCATCGATCGTCCAAAAGTCTCTTTTCAAAATCAGTGAGTTGACAAATGGACGATTTCAATCGATTGATTAGAGAGATTCAAATGTTGGAAGACATTCATTCTCAAAATCAATGGCTCAACAAATTCAAGACTTTAATGAACCGTTCGTCAAACAGTTTCAAACGTTGACAAACACACGAAAGATCAGTCATCTAAAAGTCTTCCTCGTTCATTAGTTGGAGAGATAGTCCCGCTTAATTGTTCCACAAACCCGAGTCTTTAATTAATCCTTTGCCAAACAGCTTCGAATGGCTAAGAACAGACTCTTATGTGGAAAGCTTTCCAGTTCTCGTTTCTTCGAGCTTGTACTTTCACGGCTATTTGCTTCTCCTGTTTAACCAATCATCTAACTTGTAAGATTCATTTAGTTGCCAGTGAGTCGAGAGTAGATTACTAAATCTACAACGAATTAATTCTACATCTTATAAGATTTTTAAAGTAAAAGTTTGTAGAGTTTCTCATAACATTTAGATATAATTTCATGATTTTTCAAGCATTGTCTACTTTGTTGTCACAAATTATTTTCTCAGAGAAATATTTTCCTTTGGATTCCTCGTCGATCGCAATGAATTGTACCAGGATGAAAAGCACTAGCTCTTGCATGAGAACTTTTACGATATCTCAGTTCGGCGTTTTCATTTCTACTGCATCGTAAAAGCCCGGTTAGATCGATTCCTCGCAGGCTGAAGGAACGATATGCACGGAGAGAGAACTCGTGTCTAAGTTATGGTACGTTGACATCACTGGGAAGTTTCAAATACGTGGGATTTGACAATTAGAAATTCGATTCTTTCGTGTTCCAATGAAATAATTAAAAATGACTAATATTTTAAATTACTAGTGTTTCAACTTGTCAATATCACAATTTGTCAACATTGTAATTTACCAAGATCGTGAATTTCTCATATTTTAAATTACTAATATCTCAACTTATCAATATTATACTTTACCAACATTGTAATATACCAATACTCTAATTTACCAATATTTCAAACATTGTAATTCACTAATATCGAAAATTACTAATATTTTAAATTACTAGTATTTCAACTTATCAATATTGCAATTTGCCAACATTGCAATTTACCAAGATTGTAAATTTCTCATATTTTAATTTACTAATATTTCAGCTTATCAATATTATACTTCACCAACATTATAATACATCAATATTCCAATTCACCAATATTTCTAATTACCAACACTGCAAATTACCACCATCACAAACTACTTACATCATAATCCATCAATACCGCAAATTGCTACTACTATAAATTAATAATATTCCAAGTCTCCAACCACGAGGCGGTTCTAACAAGCCCAATTTCTCTTTGAAAATGCCAAGGCAAGGGGTTAAGCGGACGACGTTCGCAAGGATCCCGTCTGACCATACACCGACGCGATCCCCTGCCGTCGTACCGTACGCGCGTAATCCCCGCGCTGAAATCAGTGTTTAATCCTCGCGGGATGAAAAGCGGCGCGGTGAGCTCGCCTCCCTTTATTGCCTCGTAAACGTCCTCGACGAGACGCCGGCTGTCAACTGCACCCGGGATATCGCGGTTTCATTCAGTCCGATTCAATCTTTCTGCCTCTGTTCCGCGTCTGCGACGCGCGTGCGGTCGATCCGCCGCGTTTCCTTTTGTTCCGTGGGACAGTTTGATTCACGGGCTGCATCAAAATCTCCTCGGACGGCTGCTGGATAGGCTCCTCGCGGCAATAAATATAAAACGTGACTGGGGCTTAATTCTTCTGACTGATGGTCTGCAGGATGACACCCGGCGCACGCGAAATTTCAAACACGTGACCGAAATTGAACGGACGGGGGTTATTTCGAACTTTTTGTTCGAAGATAAGATGTGTGTACGTAACAATTGAGCTATTACGTAGTACATGGTGGTATGTGAATTAACGTTTTGGAAACTTGAAATTTTTTATTAATAGTAAATCTACTGAGTAGTTGAATAGCCTTTCGAAATTTTTGGTCTATAAGATGAGACCGGCATAGACGAAATTTCAAACACGTGACCGAAATTGAAGTGACGCTTGGGATTATTTAAAACTAAATGTTTCTAGAAGCTAGGAACTTTTCTGTTTAACAGAAATCTGAGTAGTTGAATAGCCTTTCGAAATTTCTCTATATCAATTTCAATGGTGCTTGAGACTTTACTTGATTTATAATTCAGTTAGCGTATTTGAATCAATTTTTTAAATATTTTCTCTGAGAAATATCTAGTACCTCTTTAATAACTGCAAAAAGACAGCAATGGGTCATTTTGACATGTGACTTAGTCAAATCCAATTATAATAGTTCATTTAATTAAATGATGATTATCTAGAAACATTTCTATATTAAATATTTAATATTTCTATATTAAAAATAATGCTATCTAATGTGGTGACAATCAGCTCGATGATTACGGAGTAATACTAAAGCAATTCAATCGAATGATTTAATATTAAATTCTTTCTGTTTTATGTATCTTGTTCGGCGTTCAACGTGTTAAGCTTAATTAGATTTTAGTGATCCATTTGTTCGGTTTTATTGGGATTAATGATACCGAAGTATAAAGGGGAATTAAATTGTCGGATGAGAATTAAAATATTTCAGTACTGTAACCTCCGTTCGACGCGATTAAAAGATTTCACCGCGCAACGTTCATCGAGCATCCAGTTTCCACGCATTTACCGTGATCATCCGATGTTATAACTTCCCTTCACGATCGACGATTAGCCCATAATTCATCGGTCATTGATCAATCTACACTAAAACCGTGCGTGCAATCTCATCATCGATTGATGATGCGAACACGCAAACACGGGCGTCTGCGCAACTACACTCGCGAATGTTAAATCATTCGAGAGCCGGTTCGTGCCTGATTATCCACGTCAAAAATAGGAACCTCGAATAACCGAACCAATCGACACCCGAGTGGTTCGAATAATCTACTAGAACAGAATATAGAGCAAATGAGCCGCTCGAAAGCCAACGCGGTTCATTCGAGAAAACAAAAACCGAGGAAATTAATGTTTCGAAGCTACAAAAGTTACTTCGATTTATTTCCTGAAAAACGTAGTAAGAAACTTGGTAAGAATACTTATCTAATCAGATCAAAAATATTGTATTACAAAAAAATATCAAAAAATAACATTTATTCAAATAAAGTTACTTTGATTTATTTCTCGAAAAACATAGTAAGAAAATTAATAA